ACGGAAGGGGTCAAGAATTAAAGTTTTGACATCTTTAGGCAATACAAATTAAGCACAAGTTTTTATAATTTTGGGTCGCCAGCTTCACCGGAAAAATAGAAAGAATTTGAAAAAATTTTTGATAAAGGAATGTCTTCCACCGAATTTTTAAGTATTTTTTTCGAAATTAATGTGAAAAAGCATTTTTTTTACAAGAACTCAGCTTAATATATCAATAATTAAATTCATATTTTATCAAATAGCATATTAAAATTTACTCAAAATTTTGGTCTTAATATTCTGATTTAAGGATGGAAAGTAAGTATGGCTTATGCCATGCCTGAGTGTTTGCAACTTAACTGAAACTGCAACTTAACAGTTATTCCGAAATGCTGAGGAGTACGCGGTTACAAATCTAAGCAAATTAATGACAGTATAATTGTAAAACAAACGCGAAGGTTTTTGAGTATTAATTTAATTTCTGTTTGCCTTGAATACATGGTGGTAAAATTTGTTATAGCTCTTAAACAATATCGCTAAGCTGTGGATGGTAACATAATGTTTCAAAAGGAACATAGACATATTTCGTCAATTTTTTTTTAGAATAATTCATGAGAAAAATGCTCTGTCTATCAGCTCACTTTTTATTTCACGCAATAAGCAAAAACCTGCTTTTAAAAGCTATTCTCAGAATGCTCTCAGATAGCAACCCTACGCGAAAAATTTATGAAATAAAAATCCCCCACACGGCCTCTTCTAGCTTGCTATGTATTTAGCTATACCACTCTTAATAAAATCCGGCAATTCTTTAGTCATCGGCTGTTAATTCGACAAAACATGTGACATTTTCATCAATGGATCATGGTCTTACATTTCAAATGTGTTTGCATTCAGTCTATGAAACAGCGGAACCGCTGGCCATTCATAAAGGCAAGCTGAAAAGTGGTAATCCAGGATGTGATAAAAGGTTTACTCTACACAGCTTCTCTGTCCGTGATGAGAAGAAAAAGTAAATGACCTAATCTTTGAGTAAAGTTATATATATGCACGCTCTCACATGGTGATATCATAGGTCAAGGTTAGTCCAAACTGCAATGTTTACTTCAGAGTACTTTGACAAAGAAAATTTTTCATTATAAAACGTTTGAATTGTTCCAATTTTAAGTAAGCTTTAAGCACTGAAAAAAAGACAAAAATAATTCCAAAGATATATTTGAAGGGGAAGAAATTATCCCTCTTGCATGGATTACATTCTAAGCTTTCCTTCGATTTGTTTTCATCTTAAATCCTGAATGTACCAGCTTGCTTCAAGTGAATTCGTTTCAGTGGAACCATTTAAACCACTTCAAGATGATCCGTATTCGAGAGATTTTTGCGGTAACAGTTAGTAAAATGTTAACTTTTGTAAGACGTGGCCTCTGAATTGTGTTTTATAAATGAATAAATAATGATCAATTTTAAATCCGTAATTTAAAATAATCCTGCAATGCGCTAAGAAGTTTTAAAATTGATCCTACCTTTAAGAGACACTTAAAACGCTGATGCTGTCTTCTCATGCTTAAACGATTCTCTGGGTTTAATTCATATTTTTTTTAGACAATCTTATTTTCACAGGAAACGAACTGCAGAGGAAGGTATGTCGCAAACGATGAAATTGGATATGAATATTTACACCACTAATGTGGAGGGAACTGCAAATTCATTGCGACATTTTTCCAAAAAAGGAGATTCCAGAGCAAGCTGTCGTAAAATTAACATTAACCGTATAGTTTATGACGGTTATAATCTTGATTGCCTCTATTAATGGCTTACGGTTCTCCTCACTTACACGCTCCCTCAATTAAACTTTATTCTGAATATTATTATTTTTTAACCGCGTTCTAGTAAGCTTTAATGCAATGTTTTGAAAATTGTTCTTTCTGAAAATTTTACATTTTAAAACATTGTGAAATGTGATATTTAATAATTGCCCTACTCATTTGTCCATCACAATAACAGTTAAATAGACTGACATCACATTCAATGTATATAAAAGTGTGATAAACATGAAGTTTTACGTTCCAGCATAAATATTAGCATCATGTATTTCGTCTTCAGCGAAACACGCTGCACCATCTATATCACAATATGTTTACTTCAGATTCATGTTTTCGTTTTTGACGCAAATCCGAATGGCAAGGCGTGATCAGTGGGCGAAAAGCTTAAAAAAGCTACGGGAATATAAGGTGATTTCCATTAGCTCGCCCTTTTGAGAGCTTTAACGGGTAAAAAGAACAGAGACTTGAAATGTCTGACGGCTTTTGTCTAAGATGGCTCAGCTTGGCAAATGTACTCTTTCACATTGTTTGTTTTTTCTTTTTTAAAGTTGTAACGACGTCGAAATGAGATACGAACAAATTAGCCGACAAGCCTCAAGAAGTTTAAATTACCGATGCTGTTTCAACCTTTTGACGTATTCTGAACTAAGCAGTTGCATGGAAGAATATAAAAGAAAACATTGAAACGAGTCGTTCCGTAAAGCTTGAATTCTCGAAGATTGGTCGCAGATTAGGCATTTTTAAAGTCGCTCAGATCAAGTCATAATCGAGTTCTACTAATTTTAATCGCTTTCATCTTTATTTTCACAAGGACTCCAATGATTTACAATATCCGAAATATTCTTGGAAAGATTTTCAAAGCATTACACCATCATTAAAAATTTAAATTTCCTTGTCTACAGGAACGACCAATCTAGTGCATTTAGTGTATCTGGCCTTTTACTCAATTCCCCAAAATTTTTTTCTCCGTCATTATAGACAATACCAAAAGTTTTTAATACGAAAACTCAAAAGCATAAAATTCTTGTTAATCAGTTCTCCACCGCTCACCACTGTTCACAGAGCGGCCGCTAATCAAAGCAAATCGAATCCTCCCCCAGAACTTTTAATAGTTGCTAAAGGTCATTTGATTACTTCGTTATTTCTATTCAGCGTGTACGTAACCAAGAAAACTTATTTCTCATCTAAAAATCTATAACTGAAAGGCGGCAACCAAAATCCTTCATTGACCTCACTGACTGTTTTAGATCGAATATATATTTTTTAGACATGTTAGATGTTCTTTTAATATACATTTTTTAGACATGTTAGATGTTCTTTTAATGTTTTGAGTTATCAAAATGCCCGCTCTTCTCCCAGCCGGGAGGTTTTTCTCACAGTTTTCGCGGAGCGAAAAACTAAGAAATGTTGGTATGTCCTGCATGATGACGAAGTAGGATGTAGCTAACTATAGTTGAGCACACATTCGAAGTTTTTACTTTTCTTAAAAGGCTATTATTTTAGCAAGTAATGGCAATAATAATATTCCTAATCCTTTTTCATCCACTGCAAAGTTTTAGTAGCACTGCTGAGTCAATCACGATTGATCGTGCAAAAACAATCAGTGAACATTGCAGCAGGAATCTAATTTACAATGCAGCTTAGGCTGACCATTCAAGTTTTTACACCGTTAATTATTAGATTCCTTTGAGCTTCTCAGCCTGAACAAAAATGAATTAATCTATTTTGAACCGATTGGTAAACTGAAAAACTAAAAAAAGGGTTGAGATCAAAACATTTTCTCCCAAGAATTAGTGTTGCGATAGTGAAAGACAAACAGGAAGGGAAAGGATTGTTAAAAATTGATTTATACTGACTCTGAGATAACGGTCGGAGGCTAATTAAGTTAAAAATTCTGGATTCATAACACAACCATCAAGGTGGTCCAACATCGGTAGTCAACGACAGAAAGAGATAACAAAAGAGACAAGGGAACTCGACTACCAGCAAGCAAATCTACTCGAAATTGACGAAAAGAGCCCTTTTGATGTCTTTGATTCAAAAGATTGGAGATTTTGTCGTAAAGGGCTATTTCGGATCAATTTGCAACAAACAAGATCGGCTTGTAGCTCCAATATTTGGTAAATGAAACCAGTGGAAAACTGTAATAAAAACAACACAGTTGTCTCCGAAAAAAATGTAACTTCAAAAAGCACGGTGCCATAATCAAATGTTCCTACATATTTTCTAGACTGAAAAATAACAAAAATTACACCTAAATCTTCTAAAACATGATGCCAAGTGATAACAAAGCAAAAAATTAAATAAAAAACCATTTTCGCAAGCAGGAACATAAAAATGTCAACTTGGCTTCGAAATATCAAAGTTAATTAAAGGGCAAAACTTGAACATCTTGCAGTTTGATTTCAACCGTTCAATGTTAATCTGAGTGTAACCGCGACCAAGATATTTTTTGTTAGTTTTAAAACTGTTTTTGTCGAAATTTTTAGAGAATTCAGTTCCTCACTATTGATCTGATGCCTTTTGCCTTACCTGTCACGCTATTCGTCGGTGTTTCCCTTGTTAGTATATATTTTTGGCTATATGCAAATCTGGGGTGTGCTCGATTTAAGTGATGTTTTAAGAAGCGTCGTCTTGAGTTTGCAAAATTTATTTAGTGAATTTGTGTTGCATCCAGGCGAAAACTATATTTTGTCCCACGATATGCAACCGATGAAATACGCCAAAATGTATGTGGAAAAAAGTTCCGTTCAAGCAGACTTGAGCACTTACGTACTGCTCATCGATACCGCTTGGCTACAGCTAAGTGACAAATCTCCTTATCTTTTGAACAGCTTTATGCTATAAACTGTTTCATTTAGCTTCTTCATAGAGTTAACGAAAATTGCACATTTATTTCATCAACCTACCTTTTATCGATGATTTTAGCTCCAAAAAATAAGGTTTGCTTTTGGCGACTTCTTTTATGTGATTTGCTTCTTAAGTACGAAATGAAGTTTAGCATATAGGTTCGTCGGCTTCCTTTCTTTATGGTGACAATGATGTGAAATCAATCTTTCTGACAGATATCCTGCCATCAATAATATGCAATATGCACCCCTACTGCTCGGGATAATAAATTTCACATATTCTTCGCCTGAACATGAGTCGCAGATGTGAATCGGAGAAAGTTTTGGGGGGTTTGCCGACCTTTTTAAATAATGGTGTTTTGTTTAAAAAAATGGGAATTAAGCGTGGCTTTTTTAGAATGCAAACAACGTTCTACAAACCTAAGTTTGTTTGCGCTCGACAAAAGACATGTTTTAATTCATTTTGTTATCATTTCTTGAATAACAAAGAATATTATGTTTACCTCTTGGATTTCCACGTAATGTACTCTTTTGATATTGTATTTTGTTGTATATTTTTTGTTTTCTTTGTTATTTTCATTTTTCCGTTAGTGTTTGTTTCTAGAAAGTAAATAAATCTGTTAAAACCCATTCAAATAGTCCGTGGTGAAATAACTCAGTTCGAGTTCGTTGAGCTGAAAAGATGTTTTTCCATCCTTTATTGCTGAAAAGCTAATATTGATTTTGTGTAAGTTTTTAACATCATTCAATTCTATTACTACTTTTCAACTGTTCTGTAAAGAAGAAAGATTTACGAGTTTAAAAAAAAGGTAGCTCTTATTACTTAACTTAGATTGGTTAGTTTAAGATAAGGTAACCGAAATAAGATTACACAGCAGCTACGGGGTATATTTCAATGAAACTTCTGTTGACAGTGCGGCCAATGTTTAACATAGAGCAGGAAAAAAAAAAGCTAGACACTTTTTTTCGTGTGGCGTGTTTCGACGGTTGTAAAATTTCCCAGAAGTATCCATTTTAGATTCATCTCCCGTTTCATTTTCCGTTTCATTTTTATAGGATGTGCAGTCTCAGCCAATGAAAACACTAATCGTAGCAGTATTGCAGGTAATGACAAATGTATTGAAGAAAGTTTTGATTAGATGATTGTAAGTGCTGTTAAAACAGCTGAAACGTTGCACCAGGCTGTTGAAAGAGAATTTAATTTAAACAAAGGAGAATGGAACAACTGTAAGCCCCAAGGCAAGACACGAAAAGTATTTTAGGGGGCAATAAGACAGTTTACCGATTAAAGTTTTCAAAGGGAAAAAGGGGAAATCTACCGAAACTAACCATCTTTCCAACAGAGAGGGAAAGCAAAGTAATGGTGATGTAATTAAATTCGTTCTCATTTTCTTGTGCGCGCTGAGAAACACCGGATGGCACCTTTTTCTAAATGCAAATCGTCTCCAAGAATAACCTAACAATAATGTAAATGGACAAATGCCCAGTTGTGTAAAAAGAAAACATTAAAAACGCGTGAGCAACTCTGTAATGAACTTCATATAAAGTAAAAGCGCTCTGTCAAAATTTCACTTGTCATGTTCACTGTCTGTGTTCCCTATATTCACCTACATTATCAATAATTAACCACATTTTTCGGACATAAGTTGGTGTGATTAAGAATTTCTAAATCTTTCACTGAGAACACAATTTGAATCCGCTTAACGGGCTTAAGCAATTTCAGTCAATCGAAAAGTCCACTCGTCCTTATTTATACCAAGTTGCAAATTGTATAGACTTAAATATGTACTTTTAGTATCTACCACACAGGTGAATAGTGCTTTTTGCGCGCACTGACTGGCCAGTTCGGAAGTGATTAGCAAGTGGTTCGTCCCATCGCGACTCTGCTTAATCCCAGTGTAGATTCTTCTCTCCCTCAAAAAACTTTCCGCCGATATTTTGTGGTACTGAATTATTTGTCAAAATCGCAATCAATTGATTAGTTTGGTTCTTCTTCCTGTACTTATACCCTAAGTCACATATGTAGTTCGCTAGAGGTTAGTTCATCACTTAACCAGTGGCAGGTGTTGTGAGAAAAGTTGATAAACTGTGACTGTGATGAAAAAATAGATAGACTCGGCCTTGCAAGTGGTTCAACATACTAATTTGATTTCCTTTCTTTAAAATGAATGGAACTAAGTCGAACGACCGTTGTTGCATTGACATCTAAGAATCCTCGCAAAACCTTTCCTGAACTCGTCGTTCATACCAGCATAGAGTAGTGGGTTTACACAGCTATTAACATAAACCATGAGACTTCCGAAAGTAAGAAATGTACTTAAATGGGGCCAATTGGCACCTGAACCAAACTCATACCATAGCCACACGACTTGATTGGGCAGAAGGCATATGGCGTAGAGAAGCACGACTGAAACCAACATCTTGATAATCTTCGTTGATCTCTGCAGCCGTTTCTCCTCCTTCCGTGTGTTCGAAGGCTTGCTCGCTGTGAACTTTGTTTTGTTATTTATGACCGACATCTGAGTACTGTTAGCGAAGGAGGGATCATTTGACGCTAGCTCGCTTTCCATAGCAGACTCCATGTACTGACTGGACCCGGCATTCTTAGCTTTTTCATACGCACTTTCAGATATGCCACTCGCTTTACGATTTCTTGCCAGGATGCTTGCTTGTTCACGTAGCTTCAGCGCCACCATGAAATACGCAAAGCCTATGATCGAGAGTGGAAGTGCGTATTGGAACACAAACAAGCCCAGTGTGTACAGTTTTACAGCAACAGGCACCGGCCAGTCTTCTCGGCATTCACCTTCCACCATCTTTAACGCCAGAATGTAGGGTAGAACAAGAAGCAAAGACATTAACCATGTGGAGCTTATTATGATGGATGTTTGAACTGTCGTGAAGCGAGGCTTCCAAGGGTATATTACGGCTCGATACCTATAACGGAAAAATCGTTAATGATGATCGCTCGCTAAAGTTAAAATTTTGGCATAGGTCGGAGTGAATTATTTAGCGTGAAGAAGATCGAAACAAGTCTGGCTGACCTATTCTAGCGAATGGGAAGCGTCCATGGTCGTAACCAATCCATTCCTTGCCATCATTCATATCATATGGAAATGAAGGATGTTGGTGCTGTAGTTTTTGTCAAGTTGAAAATACCTAACATCGATAAAAGGGCAAGAATTCGCAAAAAAATCACCATTTTTCTCCCATTAAAGGTTAAGCCAACAAATCTTACCTGTCATAACTTATTGCTGCAAGAGTTGCCGCTGAGCAGTTTGTGAACAGCGTCATAGCAGGCCATACAACTTTGCACAGTGCTTCACCAAGTGGCCACACAGGAGAGGTCACTTTTAACACGACATCAAACGGGATGCAAAATAAAGCCACCATTAGGTCTGAAATTGCCAAGTTTACAAGCAGAAAGTTACGAGTGGTGCGCATACGAGGTGTCTGTGCAATTACGAGGCAGACGAGGGTATTTCCGGTCACAGCGAAAATAAATATAACAGCAAAGAAGGTATACTCTGTCAATTGCAGTGCCGTCATTGCTGTTTTTCCGGTTTCGGTTGAATTTTCCATGACACTGTTGAATCTGAGGACTGTTGAGTACTGGGACTGTGTTCCAAATGAAGAGTGCAGCTACTAATGATGAATAATAGCTTTAAATTTGTTTTTTTCTTGCTGGTGATTGTTCCTCAGTTCTACGCCGATTTATAACAGTTGTTCAAGATTGAAATTTACTAAAAGAAAATAGAGAAGATAAACGTTAAGTGATTATTGTTTCTTTTGAACAAGCCGTATCCTATAGTTTCATTCTGATAAATAAAGAAGTATATTTTTACTACTTTATGTAAATTTAAAAAGAAGACAGAAATCAAGAAAGAGTCATTAACTGAATACAACTGACAACCACAGTCTGGATTTTGGGAGAGCTTTACCGTTTTCTCACTTACTCATCACATCTCCCGATTCCCTTCCACTAGTACTGACGGAGATCCTTACACAAATAGCAGTATCTCTACGTTCGTTAAATGATGGGAAATGGCGGCATTGTGGTCGAGATAAAATTAGATAATGATGATGGTGGATTTGTAGAGATTTCTTTGGCTAAAGCTTATGATGAAAAGGAAAACCTAGGCTTCTAAAGAACTTTAATACCTGACACAGTACCGACTAAATCTATATTGAACTTTTGATTTCAGATATTTTTCAAGACAACTATCCGTCTTAGCAACTCACTATTATTGCCGACTTTCGTTATTGGTGGTTTTCAAATTTATCAGAAGAAAAAAAAAAGACATTGGTTTAGTTTACATCAGTTTTGAAACCGATTCAACGGTCATTGAGTTTTAATAATTTCTCCGACTCTCAGCGAAATGCAGTAATCTCACAAAAGTAAACAATGTAACATATTATTTCAAAACCTTAGAGATCGATCACTATCGGCTAGCACACCACAGTGGATTACCTTGAAAAACGGTGAGCAACCATACAGTTTTAGCTTCCTGTTAGCATGATTTATCTCCAACCTTTTAAGTCATGCAAAACGGTCTACCATAATTCTTACCTGTGGAAAATAAAAACGTGCTGATTAAATGGAAATCAGTCTTCATTTCCTTTTGACATCTTTCTCTATTTACTAACTTTCCTTTTCAGTTTGTAAAATTTCACTTGGTTTGGCCTAAGCCGCATTAATGAGCTCCAACCAACTGAGAAATGAGTTTTAAAAAATGTCACATTGCAGTGCATTTTCATCTCAAGTACAGGAAGACGAACCGAGATATTTACGCCCACATTTTCTGTTTTCCTCTTAACCATCCATATGTCTGCGTCTTCATTAGGAAATGTAAACATTTTGACTGCGTTTCCGTCTAGAAGGACCAAATTGCGGATGAAAGAGACAGTACGTGATGCAATCTTGGACATTTTTAAGCTCCATTTTCACCTGTCTATGCATGACACAGATCGATTTGAAAATGATGCACCGTTTCGTAACTCTCCACTTTTCAAACCGTTTTCGAAAGTCTTCATTTGCATCAGCGTTTTCCGGTGTTTTACTGAGTGTGGATGATGGGAAAAATGCATAAAAATGTGCGCATTTTCTCCCAAAAACGCATTTGAGTGGACGAAGCTTTTAGAATTGTTATTCAATGAAGCACTTTTTCAGAAACTCCCTTTACCTTATGCTTGTAACTCGCTAATTGAGTATTTACCCTCAGAAGTGGTGAGTATTGCAATTTAAAGATTACTAACCTCGGTCTTCTTGTGAACTAAATCCCTCTTAATCTTGTTTGCTGTTGAAGGCTCAAAATCTAGGAAATACGATTTTTATCAGTATCTGTCGTTGTTGTATTTTTGTCCCAAGTGACATTAGAATTGACTGACAAAGTTGTTTTTTGATCTTTTTCATGTCATGGAAATAACGTCCCACGGTTTTCCGATTGCTTTTGTCGAATGAAGGTTTCTCACTCACTTTGAGACATATCTCACGACTTTTTATCAGAAAAATCAAGAGGAACGTTTAAATTTGCCTTAAAATTAAATTTATAATTCAGACAAAATAAATAGTGTGAAATGTTTACTTTTGAAAATAGTTATGTTCAGTTTCGTTTTAATGTTTTATGTTTGAAAACGATAAGCTGCTTTTATTCTTCCTGCAATTGGTGCTTGTTTTAAAGACATCTAATTAACGAGGTCGTAAGAAATTTGAATTAGTATGTCCAACTTCGATCGATTCCACTTTTATCTTTGTTTGGATGAACCAGTTTTTGATAGACTTGTGAAAAAAAGAACTCTTTAATGGACAACCCTAAGACCTCTGTACAAAAACAGAAAGATAAAAAACTTCTTTCTTATCAGTTAATAATTCCAGTGTACGGGAACATTAGGCAACTGATTGGAGGCAAGAGCAGTTGTGTACGAGTCAATTTGATTGTGGCGGGATCCTACTGAAGTCCCCGACTCATAACAAATTAAGAAAGTAAATAATAAATGAAAGCATCTTTAGGATGCTTTTTTTTTTTGTAATCCAAACCTCTTTCCCTTAAGTAAAGCTGAAAGGAATGACTTTTCTGAAAATGGATAAAACTGTACAAAATGCAAATGAGGTAAGAACTATTTGTATCATTGTTGGATCCTGTCGTTCTAAAAATATTGAAACAGAAATGACACGAACATGTCAAATTTATACTTCGCGAGAATTGAACAATTTTTAAATTCTGATTATTCCACAAGGGTATTTCTTAATTTTGAAACTCCTGCATACCAGTCGGATTCTGCGCTCTAGAGAGAGCCTAAAGCATGAATTCTAGTATTTTTGCGAGGAGCTTTTGCGTTAATTAGCTCGGTCTTCAGGTTGTCCACACTTCCTTTGAGACATTTAAAAAAAGAAAAAAAACTTTGTAGTTAAAAGCAAACTTCTGCAATGAAAAAGAAAGAAATGCCGCCCGGGAATTTCAAGATATCCGTGTTGTAAGGTGTTTCAAAAATTTTCCATCCCATAGATTACATAGACTCGTTTTCAAAAGCCTAATCGTTAAGTGCAGAAGCAGAAGAACTTAAGCCTATTGAAAAGCTCAGAGCAATTTAACTAAGCACCTGATGTGATCTCCTCATAGAAGAATGATTCTCTCAGTTTTATATACCACCTTGTGGTATCGGTCAGCTATGACTGTCTGTGAAAAATTCTTTTCCTAGACTTTAAATGCATGGGTGACCCCTCTAATGATTAAATACTACCCACATAGGTAAAGGATAACGGCAAGTCTGATTTATTTGACCTCTAAATGCACTTTTATGGTTGGTTGTAGCAAATTTAGAGAATGGCTTCCATTTGTAAAACGATGACGTTCACAGGAAGAAAAGTAAACATCTCTATCGCATCTATGGTATAAATTATATTATCTCTTGCCACGGTGTAAACAGTCATGAAGGGTTTGTAGAAGCCGATAAAACTGAAACTGCGTTTTCGTACGGTTGGGCATTGAAATAATTGTGTTAATTTACCCGGATATTTGGTAACCCATTCTTCGTACTGCCTGAAGTATTCTATCATCTGTGGTGAGGACACACCTCACGGCTTATCAGATCTAATTTATAGGATGAAGATTATATTTTCGATGTTTTCAGACCTGTCCTTCTGAAGATGGATAATTTAAATTGACTTGGTGATGGATATCCGTGGGAACACCCACCACTGCACTTAAACTGAGCGGCTTCTTTAAATGCTAATCAGCTATTAGCTCCTTAATTTCACCACTTGCGCTCATTTCAATTCAACTTGTTAGTGTGTTAAACCGCCAAGAAGAAATTTAATCTCATTTGTGGTTCAAGACACAACAGTGCTCGCATTTCAATAACAAAAGGAGCGCCAAAAAGAGTTAAAGAATATATTTTTATTCGCGCCCAGACTACAAAAAAATATTCTTTTGACAGATTGCCATATTTTCAACTCGTAATGTAACAGTGTTTACTTTAGAAAGGGCATATAAAAATAGAAGAGAAAATGTTTTTTTTTTCAATTTAATCGAAAGGAAAGCTTAATTTTTTCCTGGAAAACTGCAAGAATCTGGAGAGACCTAACTGGGAAAAAACGCTTTGACCTGAAAAACAAATTTGAGACAAACACCTGCTACAGTAACTGACGCTAGCTTAAACCACGATATAGTGAAGTTTTTAGCCTTCTCGGTTTCATGTCTATTAAGTTGCTGGCTCCCATTTAAATCAAATAGTGATCCAAAAGTTGTTTTTTCGCGCTTCTATTTTAAGCTTGTAGGCAAAAGACTTTTTTTTCCTTCCTTATATTCCAAACCTCAACTATATTTCATAGAATATTTAATGATAATATTCAGCCTCGATGTTTAATCCGAAGAATTGTAGTACATGATAATTTGAAAGTGACCGCGAAATTATTTGAATTTATCCGTTAAAGGTGCTGTGGAGAATTTTTGGCCCATGACTTTTCTAGATTAGTGTCCATTCTAATACGATCTGAAATTAAGCTTCTTCACCTATCCTGAATATCTTCGGTTGTCCATATAAAAAATGTATTATTCCTAGTAATAGTTCGTGAATTAAAGGCTAGGCATTGTACAGTAACTTAGTAAACTTTGAATAAAAGGTTCATTTCATACAAAGAGTATCATCCTTGAAGTGTCATATTCTATTTATAAACTGCCAGCCCTTTTCGAATTCCAGCCAGTTACCTTTTGCAATAGCAAAACTGAAACAAGATCATGCATCATGCGCTCAATTTCGAATTACTCACCTACAGAAATCTCTCGTTAATCTCTCTTACTGTTTAGCATAAATGCTTTTTTGGGGGGCACAGAAAGAAGCAAAAAGAAGCACAGGCGAATGTATTTGTTTTGACTGAGGCTGGAACGTTTTCAACCGGATTGTAGCTGTGCCAAAGTAAACAGTATTTTGCTTGGACAATGATATATTTCAACCAATGTTATCATTATTATCGGCTAAAATTATACAAATTGGCTCTACTCGCGTGTATTACGAAAACAAAAACATATTACCAAGTAAATCCTTTGGATCCGGAGATAAAAGCTACTTTAAATTCAACATCAATATTTATCTGTTTTCCCATAGAATGCATAAGTACTAGTACAGGTACTCATGGCGAGATGAGTTCTTTATAAATTTAACATTAAAAATATTTTAAAGAAGCAATTTTACTATAATACTACTATTGCAATAAAATTGGTCTACACCTTAACGTAGAGGGGAATCGAGCAAAAAATCAACAGTGAGAAACACATCTTTTTCTTTGTTATCTTCCATTATTAAATTGTAAGCCGGTAGAATCAATTGCACTACATATACCTGGAAGTACGTTTCTGAACGACAAGTTCGTGATAGCTGAACGACCAATCAAACTGTGGAAATACGAATCAATTAATCTGCAACGAGTGTCTCTTGGCTTCTATTCGTATTATCGAGCGCGCGCATCTATAATATATGCATAAAATGTTAGCATGAGGTAGTAAGAATCATAGATCCATCAGAGGAAACAAGCCAATGACGTATACCATGTACATACTCTTTCAATATTCTTTATGTGTTACTCAACTTACCTCTAAAACAGAGCTGATCATAAGAATAAATTATGATAACAAAACCTAAAACATTCGTTTCAGGGAGTTGTGTGAAACTGTTTCTTCAGAGCACTTTTTAATAACGATATCTTTCCTTCTGAGTAAACTGATCCGAATTACTTGATAAATCATTAATTGAAACAACTAAATGTTTACTTATATGTCTGATTTTGGAGGATGCACTTCTAAAATGTTTACTTTGATCTTAAAATAAATTTTGATGTCAGAAATTTATCGAGGACCTAACTTGACAGATCCTCTGAGCATCGCTTGAAAATGCATTTATTTTATCATTCGTTCAACCACTTTCATGCATTAATTAATTAAATTTTTTAATTATCCTCACATGTGTTTACTCATTTTGTCATTATTTCAGTAGGTTATTGTTTGTTTAAAGATAGAGTAGTTTCCCAGAGTATTTGAAGAGACGTTAGGATAAGAGCAATATATTTGCAAATTTTGGAGAATTCAAACTAGGGATTCTCAAAAGTCTTATTTCTGGAGTTCTTTAATACATCTTATCCATGCTAATCAAATTTTGGTGCAACGTTGATCATTAAATATTTACAAGCTGTCAACTTCTAAAATTAACATCTTTTAGATTAAAAGAAGCTTGAGTCGCCAAAAATAAAGTTGTATTTTAAGTACCTCACCCTTGGCAAAATTTTCTAATGGCAAAATGGTGGGCATAGTAACTAGAACACCCACAGTTACATTAATAAAATACTGAATAATGTTCGAGGTTCCTAGATGGTGTCAATATGCCACGAAAGGTGAAATGTCCTTATAAGCAATAATTCTGCATTCAAAAAGACCATAACTTGATCTTGA